TAATAGTGCCATAAAATTTTGTTATACTTTCACTATACTAAAATCGTGATAGATTTTTTCACCGCTTTCCTAGATTCCTTGAACATTTTCTTTTTTTTTTCAATCTGTCGTTAGTCCGTCAATCATTGCAGTGACATAGTGGCGAATTCATTGGCATAGTGGCGAACTCATTGACGGAGTGGACAATTCACTGACGTAGTGGTGAACTCATTGACGGAGTGGCGAACTCAATGACTTAGTGGCGAACCCATTGATGGAGTGGTGAACTCATATATGTTGTTAAGTATGAAGCAATCCAGGGCTGAATACCTAATTTATTGGCATTCAGTTTTAGCATTCCTTTAGGTTGAATTGAAAGCCCCCGGACTTTATTGATATCTGTCATTGGAGCCAGTCCATGAATACCTCTTCCGTCTTTCTGCTAAGGATTCCGCCACCCCATCAAACGGCCCGTCACTCCGTATGACGGAGTGACGAACTCACTGACGTAGTGGCGAACTCACTGACGTCATTCGTCGATGCTACCTTACAAAATTACGGGGCTCTACGTAAATAACAAAGCGAAACAATACAGGATTAAGTTTCGAAAGTTTCGGTACTATTAACGGGCTTGAGGAAACCATCGACTTACTGACGGACATCAGTGCTGCTCTGATGCATTCCTTTAGTTTATCGAAATGGCTGAATTATACTGACATAATCAATGCTTTTTTTTTGTTTTCTTTTGTAATTATTGGTGTTTCGTATTCTGTAAGGTAGCATCGACGGATGACGGATGAAATGTTTTCCCCTATCTAGGGCTTCCTCATACGTCAGTACGTCAGTAAGTACGCCACTCCGTCAATGAGTTCGCCACTCCGTCAATGAGTTCGCCACTCCGTCAATGAGTCCTTCGACCGTCAATGGTTTAGTTAACCCGACAATGTTATCAAAGTTTTGTTTGATTCATTCTTTGATTATTTTTACATTTTAGGTGAGTTTTTTTCCATTGACATCAGACAGTCATAAAATTGCCCCAACCTTTCATTGGAGCCAGTCCGTTAACACAGCGCTTCTTCATGCGTCNC